ACTCACTTTCACAGGAGTTGCCTACAATAATACAGTCCACTCCAGCACATGTTACACTCCTTTTCAAATAGATACAGGTCAAAGTTTCAACCCCATGCCAGAACTAATCCCAAACGAACTGGCAATCCCATCACTGAAAGATTGGATAGAACAATTACAAAACACCTGGCCAACTACCTCATAGTTCCCTACGTCCGGTTAGATCCCACAGGCTGGGCCTCCTTCGGGCCCCGTTGGCCAAGCAGTGCCATTTGGCGGGGCCACGGAGGAGGGCCTTCTCTGTGATGGCGCCCACGCTTTGGAATCAGCTCCCCCCGGAGATTAGGACCGCTCCCACCCTGTTGGTCTTCCATAAGCTACTTAAGACCTGGCTTTTCCGGCAGGCCTGGGGTTTATAAAACCTTACCCCTGGATGATTGTTTTTGTATTGTTGTTTGTTATGTTTTATGTGTTTTTTATTGTTAGCCGCCCAGAGTCCTTCGGGAGTGGGGCAGCTTATAAATTTTAAAAATAATAAAATAATAATAGTTAGAAAAGCCCTAGATGAAGGTAGGCAAGCATACAAAGCACAAGCACATAAAAAAAGAGCTGAACCCACACCATTCATTATAGGAGAAATGGTATATTTGTCTACAAAATACCTAAAATCACAACAACCATGTAAAAAACTTGGACCAAAATATATAGGACCTTTTCCAATTAAAAGAATCATAAACCCAGTAACAGTAGAATTAGAATTACCCAAAAATCTCAGGCAAATACACCCAAGTTTTCACTGCAGCTTGCTGAAAAGAGATCAACAGTCACCCTTACGACCAAAAATCCCCCCACCACCTCCAATCATGGTGGAAGGAGAACAACACTTCGAGATAAAGAAAATCCTAGACTCTAGGAGATATCATGGGACAACTCAATACCTAGTAGCATGGAAACACCTCCCCTTCTCACAAAACGAGTGGATCCATAAACGTCATGTCAGAGCCCCAAAGCTATTAAAGAAGTTTCATACAGAGTATCCTAACAAGCCAGACTAACTTTTATACCTGTTTTGTTTTCTTTACAGGTGGATCTCTCTTATTTTTAAGGGGGGCAGGATGTCAGAATCCAGTTATATTTGATTTCTATGTCAACTGCTAACATCGGATGTTCTTGCTTGCCATATATGAAGAAGCAAACATATTTTATTTCACCTGCATATCACTTCTAGAGTTAAAGCAGACACTAGTAGCCTAGCGGATGGGAAAGTGTGCTAGTTAACCATAACAATATTTCAGTACAGCATTGCCAAGGTCAGCTGTAACAGGAGGAGTACAGGAGGGACAGTTCACACTTCAAACTAATTGTAGAACGTGATTGATGACTGTAAAATGAAGGAGTGAGTTATGCTTTGTTACCTTGGGGTGGGAGGATTTAGTTTTTGGCTTCATTATGTATGTGCCGAAGCTATGTAGCAATAAAACGATTCTTTAAGGTAAATAAAGCCTCAAAGTTCTTTGAAAAGCTACTTCTTTTCGGAACCATGACATCCTATCTATCTTCTCTGATATAAAACCAATTTTACTCTCCCCTGGATCCTGTCATACTACTAAGGGGAGGGGGGTATGCATGGAGTTTTTATTAGTTTCACTTCCTCTATTCATTACAAAGTAACCTTTTGTTGATTCGTTTCGGATCTGCTTACCATAACAATGTAGCCATTTGTCTTTCACCCTATGCCCCTCTGAACTCCTCCTTACCGTCCAGCGAGAGAAAGGTGGGGGAAGATGCAGCATCTGGGATCTGTGTGAGGAGATGTTGAATGATCGTGCCAATGGAGCTGGATCAATGTTATCTCTCCTGGAGTTAATTCCTAGAAATCTGCCAGTTTGAATTGCCCGGAAGAACTGCGGGGTGGGGGGTTGCTTAGGGACAATTTAAAACATTGCATTGTAAGGGAATCCCTCAGATCCTGTCTATCATGCCCGCTATCAGTTTCTTTTAATAAAAGTTCCTGTTGGAAGAGACTGTTTCCAAGAGTTCTGCTTTCTTAAGATGTGGATTGAAGTAGGTCCTTACAGGGATATTGCTTCTGCTTTTTATGCTTGAAATAAAAAATATTAATAAGTAGTGTAATTATAGAATTGGCTTGTAATAATTGTTGTTGTTAGTTGCGAAGTCTTGTCTGACCCATCATGACCCCATGGACAACATTCCTCCAGGTCTTCCTGTCCTCTACCATCTTCTGGAGTCCATTTAAGCTCACGCCTACTGCTTCAGTGACTCCATCCAGCCACCTCATTCTCTGTTTTCCCCTTCTATTGCCCTCAATCTTTCCCAGCATTATGCTCTTCTCTAGTGAGTCCTTCCTTCTCATTAGGTGGCTAAAGTACTTGAATTTCAACTTCAGGATCTGGCTTCTAAAGAGCAGTCAGGGCTGATCTCCTCTAGGACTGACTGGATTGATCACCTTGTGGTCCAGGGGGACTCGCAGGAGTCTTCTCCAGCACCATAGTTCAAAGGCCTCAATTCTTTGGCGCTCAGCCTTTCTTATGGTCCAACTTTCACAGCCATACATTGCAACTGGGAAAACCATGGCCTTGACTATACGTACTTTTGTTGGCAGGGTGATGTCTCTGCTTTTTAGTATGCTGTCTAGATTTGCCATAGTTTTATAAAAAGTTGAGGTCATAATTGTATTTGTATTTTACTATGTTGGAAAGAATCTGAAGCCAACTTTTTTTTTTCTCTCCTCTATTTTTCTTATCCCACACTTCCTACCCCCTTTTTAATATTTATCTTTGTCCTTTATGCTACCATAAGCTTTAATAAAACTTTCAGAAAATGCAATCACCAATTAATGAGGGAGAATTCAGTTTTATGAATGTGGAGCTATATCATCAAGCTATATTGTCAAGTATGAAATACGGGAAGGCAGCATTTGATGTTTATTTTCTCATTTGGGCTACTTTGGAATAGAAATTTAAAAAATCTGTTTAATACAAACAAGTTTGTAAGTAAAAGAATTACCAAGTACCTTTGGTTGAGTAAACATTGTTAGGATCTAAATACAAAGGAACTCTAGTATCTCTGGAAACAATTATATCAGTTAGAAAGCTATGGAATGTAAATGCCTAATAAAAACAGATTTGACTCTTTTTTCTATACTAAATTGTTTTTATAGGGAAATCCAGTAAAAGTGATGATATGAAAAAATTGCACCAAAGTGGGGAAAATATCTTTGGACCAATTGATAGATGATGAGAATGATTTTTTTAGCATACACTGCTAAGAGACAAGTACCATCTATCAGATATAACTCAAGGCAATATTTATCATGTTGTTAGCAACAATGTTTGTTAACAGCATTGTTTGGACCAATAGCATTTTCAGCTTCTACCCAAGAGACTAGAGCAATTGGGTAAATCTTTTCAAAATTAAAAACTTAGTAGCTGTTTCTATTGATATTTGATATCAATAAATCAATTTGATATGCAGAAGTTAAGAGATGAGTGGAATATAAAATTAGAGGTTCCTATATTTACCTAGACAATGGGAGAATGTCTTAAGTTCTATAGTAAGAGTGTCAATGGACTTTAGATTGTGACTTATATAACTAAATGCAATATTTAGAATTTATTGAACTCCATTAAGCTTGTATAGAAAAGAATGATAAGGACAGCATTTTGTTGAAGGTCAGTGCTTCTTTAAACATATATTTTTTCAATATCCTATATTTAGTAATTTTGGGGAGAATATAGTTGGCCATATAAATGTGATTGTGTGGCAAAAGTTAATTTTTTCAGTATACCTAGTCCATGGAATTTAATAGTCGGACAATATAAATGGATTCTTTGTGCCATTGCTATAGCTAAAAGACTGATATTGTAACATTGAGTTTAGTGATTAAGGATTGCTAGGAATCAGGAGATGTGAGTTCTAGTCCTGTCTTAGGCATGAAAACTGACTTAATGACCTTCAACCAGTCATTCTCTCTTAGCCCAGCTCACCTCACAGGGTTGTTGTGGAGAAAATAGGAGGAGGAAGAAGGAACATTGATATGTTCACAGTCTTGAGTTATTTATAAAAATTATAAAAGCAGGATTTTAAAAAAATCTTTAAAAATGGAAAAATATACTTGACTTGATTACACTTGTTATTTATGAGCAAATTACCTATCAGCATAGACTTTGTATGGATAAATATAATGAAACATAGGATTCATTTATAGAAAGTCCAGTAAGTTAAAAAAATGACAGTTATATAATTATATTGGAAATGTGTATGTGTACATATAATATTTATGCATACTTTCCCATTATATACATAATTATGACTGTTTACTGTAACAACATATACTTTATATTTTGTTTACTTTTCTGTTGCATTTTTTCACTCGTTTTAAAGCAGCTGTTATGTGATTTTACTGTGTATATATATCTGCATTCATTATCGGCTGGCCACAATAACTTTACAGCAAGCTAGGCATTATAAAATATGATACCATGGATTGATACTGAGTTTAATACCAAATATATAATTGTAGCTCTTGATAAAGTTCAGCACCACTTAGAAAGGATCTCTAGTTTTAGATTCTGAGAGATAGTCTAAGGTATTAGATTAACAATGAGCACTAGAGTGTCTTGTTTTTCTTCATGAATCCACTGTGTAGCTAAGAATGCATTCTAGAACACACATCAAACCCTCCTGCAGTTGCTAATAACAGGGAAAATGTGCTGGAATAAAGAAAACTGTGTTTCTTTAGGGAATGTTGTCTACCATTATGAATTTTCTAATTATTGATATTCAATAGGTTTCTGCTGTATAGATTAATAAAGAACACAGATTAATAATTACCACATTAAGGGATCCAGAATCCAGGTGAATAACTGTTACAATCATTACAGTATAACAAAGCAATCCTTACAGGATACAGTATTTTATTATTTATCTCATTTAAGTAATCTTTATCTGCAAGTGGAAATATCTATGAGAAATCCTACCATATCTCTTCTATTACTTACCTTTTATCATAAATAACAGTCCTCAGTGCACTGGACAAGTCCTTTGATGTCATTTTAACTGCATCCAGCTTTACTCCTGCTCCTCGAGACTCTATCCGCACTGCATTGTCTGCTTGATCTCCAAAAAGTGGTATTAATACCATTGGTACTCCATGACAAATCCCCTCATAGATCCCATGGGAGCCCGCATGTGTGATAAAAGCTCTGGTTTTTGGATGAGCTGTTCAAGAAGATTAAGTGGAAAAAGACAAGCAAGCTTATTCTAGGTAATCATATATGGTGAATTTGCATTGTTATAAATGGAACTGCATAAATCAAAGAGTAATTATTAAACTATTAATATGTGATTAACAATTATTCAATAATTATAAGAGGAAACTTCTTTCCTCTTCATAATCCCCAACATTGGATATTGTGGTACAGCTATAGACTGTCACTTCATATAGGTGTGTCATTTGTCTGGGTGGGATATCTCCAGAGCAGAATATAAAGGCCCTCTGTTTAGCACTATCTCCCAGTTTGTTTATTTCAGATCTCAATTCTCCTCAATCTCTATTTCTTGTATTATGGTATAAAAGGAATAACCCAGTTTGTTTTTGTGTAATTAATTTAGGGATATATGAATGAACAAAAGAGCTTTAACCCTTGGAACTTCTTCAAAAAATCTAGTATAGCCTATCCAAATCTATGCATTTTAAATGATTTTTTAATAAACACTAAAAATAAAAGAAAAAAAATAATGAAATGCCAAACTTCTTAAACTACAGAAACCACCTACCCATTCATCCATTATTTTTTCCTGAAAAGGCATTGAGAAGAAATGCTAATTATTTTACCTAGGAACAGGCATTTTTACACTTAGGTGGAAGGCAAGCTCCACAAATCATCTGAGGAAAGCAGTGTTCATAGGAAAAATGGGTCATTTGATCAGTTTTTGCTCTATGTGTATTTCCTTGCAGGAGCAACATGATAAAACAGCCAGATTAGGTCTGATTCAATGCTTTACTTAGGTTTTAAAGGATAATATTGGTACAATGTTCCATGAGGAATGATTTCGCTTCCCCCCCCCCTCCAAAAAAAGATTTTGGGAATAGGTCCATCCAAGTTTGTATTTCTTCATAGTATTTGGTATTAGTTGATGTTGGGTAATACATATAAAGCTACTCATATTTAGCACCATAACAGACTGGAAGCAGAATCAAAACTGAATAAAAAACAAGCCCCCTTAATTTCCGACCCAAACATACCAAGTAGATCGTTCTGTGGAAGCCAATTAAACAGCTTTGTATTATTGGCAAGATTGATTGGAGCTTCACCAGTATATCTCCACAACACCTTCATAAATTAAAATATACAGCAAGTGATGAAAATATATATTTATTGATAATTCATATTTGTATAAATCTATATGCTTGTCAACTGAAGTCATTATGAGTGTTTCAGTTGACAACGTCTATTAAAATGGTACTTGTTTTATCAGGAATGTCATTCTTGTAGATTAAAATGTTAATAAATTAGCTAGTTCAGATTTATACAAATATGAACTAGCCAATTTATTAACATTTTAATCTACAAGAAAGACACTCCTGATAAGACAAGTACCATTTTAATAGATGTTGTCAACTAAAACACTCATAATGACTTTGGTTGACAAGAACTGCAGAATGTATATAAAGGGTTTTATACGAATCCAATCTACCCTGTACTTCAGGCTTGTGTCAACTCTACAACAACCTGGCCGTAGCCATCTTGCTCATTCTAGGTTGCCACATGAATGGGTGTGTGTGTGTGTGTGTGCAGAGGATTTTTGCTAATCTAAACAATTCTGTGTCCCACAGGAACCAAGGTCATTCTTTCAGTTACGTTAGGAAAGCCTGCCAAACTATTCTATTGGGAAATGTAGCTGATTGCACAGCACTGGGGTGGGAAGTTTGATTTTGTAATAGTGTAATTCTTTGGAGGAAATTTTATTGATCATACCAATATGTTATATCCAATAAACATGTTCTTTGAGGAAGTCTCTAGCCTCAGAGTTCTGATTTATTTGGCTATCTATTGGAACTTTGACAGCTTGCACAACTCTTTTAGAAGAAAGAGCCACAGTGAAAAATTAAAAACCCTTGTAGACAAGAAAGAAATATTGGAAATGTCAAACAGTTGTTCCATTGCTTGTAGAGTGGCAGAAGCACTTCCCTAAAGTTACAATTTTTAAAAAAATGTTGGGCAGCACCTTCTAAGGAATAAATGGTGAATTGAAGGTGGTTCTGCCAAAACAGAGCTGATAACCACAGCAGAATGAAGAGTCAATGAATACTGACTTTTTATAATTGCTCTCTGGACAATGAAAGAATTTGAAATTTCTTGCTCCAGACAATTGCTCCTTGCAAGGAGACCACAAGAAAGCAATCTCTGGCAGGTTTAGAATTCCAGGAAATGAAGTATTGGTTATCGTAGTCTAACTATGGTCAGTGCCATAGAAAGGACACTAGGTTTCTTTTCTAATCGCTTTCAGAAATTAGTTGTTAATTGCTTTTCAGCTATTAAGAACCTTTGGATCAACAAGTTATAGCATCGGGCGAATTTCCTTCAATTTCTATTTAAGAAGTTTTAAATATAAGTTCAAGAACTTAATGTTTTTTTAATAAACAGCAGAAGGATTATTAGAATTTTGACTTTGGAAAATTACAAATGGACTTGAAATGGATTTGAAATAGGATTTTGAAATCAATTATAAAAATACTTCCTGTGGTAAAATGTTTTTGAATTCTTTCTAAAAAAATCATGAATAGCATGTGACTTTGAAGGCTGGACACTAGAGAAGAACTAAAGATTACAATTAAAAGAGAGGAACACTTACATTTTGCTTACTAATACAGAATAAAATGAAATATTTTAACTTTGGGCATACTGAAGGATATTTGGAATAATGGACCCAGAAATTAATTTTGAGAATGTCAGCTCTATAGATAGACTGTGTTTGATGTTATGGGAGAGGAGCAAGTTTTGCCAGCAAGATGTAGACTGATCTGAAAGTGGATTTAAAAATAATAGGTTACAAGAATGATGTGGAAAAAATACTATGCTGGACAAAGAAAAGAAACCAGCTGATGCTTTATAAATGAAAAGGGATAAACAAAGAACAAATCAAGAGAGTGATCAGAATAATTTTCCTATATTGGATTTACAAAAGAAGCTTGTTAAAGCTTTGAGGAATTCTTTGAGAAGGTATAAAGAAAATATGAAAAGAAATCAAGTTTTAGAACATTATTTGAAGAGGACTAAATATTAAGATTGCTAAAAGTAAAAAGAAGGCATGTGAAATTTATTTGATCAATGTTAAAAAAAATACATTATCTCTGGTAACCCTTAATGGACTTTTGCTGATCAAGACTGAAATGACAAGGCACTGTTTGTAAGTGACAAATAGGACATGGAAAGAAGAGACGGTTGTATTTTAAACGTGATGTTAATTTACGCTTTTTGTGATGAAGGGGGAAATAATTTCTGTCAAGAAATTTCTGCCCATTAATATTCATCCTGATTTTCTTTTCCTTTAATTTCATCCCATTATCCTTGTTTCTCATTTGGTTTAACAGAAGATATATCTTCATATACACAATAGATTTTAGGTTCATTTTTCTTACTGTCTGTGTTATCGTTCCCAATCCTCCAGCAATTTCCATGGCTTTTTCCATTTTAATTTCAGAAAGCATTGATCCCATGGAAAACACCACAATTCCATCTTCACCAGATTTCTCTAATATGTTTTCAAATTCCTATCAAAATAAAATTTAAAAAATAAGTTATTTGAAATAGTTTGAACAGAATCTCCCACCTTAATAGGTGACTAAAAAAGAAAATAATTGACATGCAAATAATTTAGCGAAGAATTAAACACTATAATTCAATTCAAAGATAAGAATTTAAAAAATTAAAATAACTTATTTGGAATATAAATCACAACACACAAAGCTATAATTCATAGAAGCCAAATTATGTTTCAGTCTAGTCAATGCTCAAGTGCCAAAATGTCATCTTTAATTCATTAAAATATATTATTCATTTTATATACCAACTTCAGAATTTAATATGATAAAAGTCTAATATTTAAAATTTATGGTTGACATTTTTAATAATCCATCAGGTGACTTAACTACATGTTACAGTTCAGAAACATACTGTATATTTCTGGATATTTTTATCTGAACTTCACAATTACTAGAAAGAGCCTTTTTCAGAATTCTTAAGCAGCTAATCATTAGTTATCTAGTCCTTAATTCCCCAAACATTACACAAGTCTTATCTATTTTTGTCTTCCATTCATTTATTTCTTTTTTCTTTTTGCTTCTGAACAAAGCTGCATAAATTAAAGTATTTATTAGAATAATATTGCTTTTGTTCATAAAACATGTTTAACCAGGCCAGTTTATATAATTATCACACTCTTTCATACTCTGGCAAATAGCACTTGATAGTTTGGTATTGACTGTCCCAATTTTGTCAAAATATTTCAATCCTAATTTGACACTTTGAAAAATATATGACTAAAAAAACCCCAACCTGTGTTAATGGATTCTCCTTTGCACAGTTTATACCCCCAATGAAAACCATATTTGGCATGATAGGCCTTGGATATTCAAATATGAAGTCATAGCGAAGAAGCCAAATTGAAGCTTGGCTATATAGCTCTAATACCGTCATATCTCGATGCAGGAATTCCTTGATCAAAACTTCAAATGGTGAATAAACTAAGTAACACACCATGAATTGAAATGAACCAAATAAAAAATTATTTACTCGTTGATTAAATGTCATATGATCAGTACTGCCTGTATAGAATTTGGGGATATAGGAATGTGGGTTTGGACACTTAGTTGCCTCAGAATCTAAACCACATGGAAGTCCACGTAAGTAGAAAAGAGAAGGGATGGATAAATACTCAGCCACAATTTGACCACATGGAGACACTGGATCCATAACTACAACATTGAATTTGCTATCTTGAAGGTAAGTAATCAAATCTTTGTTGTACAAAAGCTGCTTGCAGTTATTTAAGTAAAACATTGTAATATTCCTTATTCTTGCAAATGTCTCAGTAATTCTTGCCAGAAAAGACTGATGTACAAAAATCTTATGACCCAATTTCTGAAATTCCATTTTCAAGTATTCCATTGAATAGGGTACAGCAAATGTTTTCACTATGTAATGATCAGATGGTTTCATCAGCAAATTAACATCAGGAACCACAGCTACTACTTGATGTCCTCTGTGCTGAAGGCGTTCCATAACTGGTTGAATACTGAGCCAGTGACTGCCATCCATAGGTATTACCAACACCTTCCCTCCATCTGAAAGTCTCCAGAAAAAAAAAAAAAGTAAAAACCATGTAGCTGGTTGGCAAATATACTGAAACATAGAACTCTTCTTTTTCATTATGCTGAATTTTAATCCAAAGGTGAATGAATGTAAACAACCCTTTGTTCTTTACATGAACATATCAAACAGAACTTACTTGAGCCTTCAAGCTTTTTCTTTTCTGTAAATATTTAATTTCTTCTGCAATGAGAAGTGTAATGGAACTTTAAAACTTGGTCAAAGGTTGGCTGATTCAGTAAACAAACCTTAAGAGATTCACAGAATAACTGACTTGCTGCAAATGCAGCAAAACATTTTGAAATTAAAAAAGACAGAATCAGCCTTTTGTGATGCCCAGGGAAAAAATAACCTTGCAACATTTACATAATTTTTTACAATAATGAGATGAAATGATTAACTATAAGGTTAGAATTGGTCCAGAGAGGTTTGATGAATAACAGGGCTACTTATTTGTCAAAATTCTTCATTATATCAAACCAGCCAATCATTTATTTAAGAATTCACAGGTTCATCGTGTGCACAAGCTGTGCCCTTTCATCAGTAGGCTCTTCAGATCATCCCTCATTCCCTGGTTGCCTTACAATTCAACTATTACAATGTGCTTTACATGGAGCTCCCTTTGAAAAAAATCTGGAAGCTACAGCTAGTACAAAATAATAGAATAACAGAGTTGAAGGGATCTTGGAGATCTTTTAGTCCAACCTCCTGCACAAGCAGAAGACTTTATACCAGGGGTGTCATACTGCTGGCCCATGGGCTGGATGCGTCATGGCGAAACTGCGCACACCCCATTGCCAGCAATGGAAAAAAGTTGCGATACATTACAACACGTTACATGACGTTGCGAGTTTGACATCCCTACTCTATATCATTTCAGACAAAGGTTAACAAGCCTGTTTTTAAAAGCCTCCAGTGATGGTGTGCACTGACAACTTATGAAGGTAACTATTTCATTGATTTATTGTTCAGGTTCTACTGTCCGGAAATTTCTCCTTAGTTCTAGGTTGCTTCTCTCCTTGATCAGTTTCCATCCATTGTTTGATTAATTTCAATCCTTGTCTTGCCTCCTGGTGCTTTGGGAACAATAAACCAATGGAATGGCTTGCTTTCACAAGTTGTGGGTGCTCCATCACTGGAAGCTTTTAAGAAGAGATTGGACCTTTGTTGACCCCCTCTTCTTTGTGGCAGGCCCTCAAAGACTGGAACACTGCTATCATGTTGCCCCTAGTCTTTCTTTTCACTAGACTAAACATACCCAATTCCTGCAACTGTTCATGTTTTAGCCTCCAGTACTCTAATCATTTTGTTGCTGTTCTCTGAACTCTTTCCAGAGTCTCAACATCTTTTTTATATTGTGGTGACCAAAACAAGATGCTGTGTTTCAAGTGTGGTCTTACCAAGGCCTTATAAAGTGATACTAACACTTCATGTGATCTTAACTCTATCCCTCTGTTAATGCAGCCTAGGATTGCATTGGCTTTTTGGGTAACTGCAGCACTCTGCTGGATCATATTTAAGGGATTATACATTAGAACTCCAAGATCGCTCTCACAGTTATTGCTTTTAAGCCAGGTTTCACCTCATCTGTACTTGTACATTTGGTTTTTACTGCCTAAATGTAAAACTTTACTTTTCTCTATGTTAAATTTCATTTTATTGGAGAGGGTCCAGTGTTCAAGTCTGTCAAGAGCCATTTGGATCTGGGCTTCTGGTTCCGGTTTGCGGTGGTGCGGTTGGGCGAAGGGAGTCGTCCCTTTGCTGATCGAGTTTCCCCTGCTGGTAGACCCCTTAGAGGGTCGAAAAGATGCTCTGGAGGAACGTCTACCATCGAGGAGGCTTCTCAGATGTTGCAGAGGAGCGGCGGCGTCCTCTGTGAACCAAGTTTCTCCTTTGGGCCGACAGGGTAAAGATCAGCCAGTAAAATGGCCGATCATTTAGCTGCGCCAACCGCAAGCCACAAGATCAGCTAAGCAAACGGACCCTCCGTGGACTACTCGGTGAGACTTTTCTTTTTACCTCTATTTTCTTTATGCCTGTGAAAAGTTTTTTTTTTTCTTGGAATTATTCCCTTTTCCGGTGAAGTGGCTTTTTAAATGGGGGAAGAGAAGCACAAAGGATTAATTTTATTTTTGTTTTAATGATTGATTTTATTTTTGGATATTGGGAGCCTCAAGAAAGTTTTTTATAATACTTGGAGAATATTGTTTGTTTTTATCTTTATGGTGTCTGGAAGGATTGAACATTTGATTACTTTCTGAGGGACACTCTCTGACAAATTTATTCATTGTACTTGCTATCTTTTCTTCACTGGAAAGACTTTCATTTTGTACAAAGGAAAAAGGCGAGGAAACTGGGAGGAGACGGATATTGTGATTGTTTTTTAAATATAGTCTCCTTTAAAAGGGTAAGGATTTGAAAGATAATAAAGATGGAGGAAACTGGTGTAGATCTTATTATAAGTATATTTTGGGAAAAAAATTGGAAAACACGGAGAAGATAATTGCTTGTTCAAAGGAGATCTCTTTGTTTCGATAAGGCAAAAGGCAAGGACTAAGTGAAACATCAGTTTATACACGCTTGTACCCTGTTTGCTGAGGTGGAAGAAGTAAACCCACAGTTGGACAATCAATTAATTTTGGAAAAAAGACTTGATATCAACAAAGGACTTATGATAAGGAACTGGACGATCTCGCTTCAGAAGGACAAGTTGGACTGCAGATCTCATTTAAATTTGAGACAGAAAAAAACATGGGAAGAAGAGAAACTTGTGATCAAAGAGGACAATATAAAAGAAAGGATTTTAAGTGAAATTTATTCAGTGTTAAAGGGGAAATGATGTTCTGCTATGAGCCATTCAGACTAATTATAACTTTTATACTAATTTTACAAAATGTACAACGGGAGCTTTCTTTTTGGAGTGTATAGTGTGACAGGCAGAGGCCCGATTATGGAAACCTGTTTGGATTAGAAAGAAACCCAGAATAAGATACAAATATTAAATTTGGTTATAGTAATGTGGTAAAGGCCTTACAGTGATTTGGATTGATTTGGTGTTGGACTTTGTTAAAAGGGCTTTACATGTTTTTAACATTAGAGATGGTATAATGAGAAAAGAACTGAAATATAGGAAATGATAGAATTAATTATTGGAGATTTGGAGAAACAGTGAAAAATAATAGAAGATTGGTGAGAAAGAGAAGAATTTACTTTTGGAATTAATAATACTTAAATAAAAAAACACTTGGGGCACCTGAATAGTAAATGAATATGTTAGTTTAAGATTAAATATATTTAAGACAACATGATACAGGATCTTTGGGATGGATAATGAGGTTATAAACTTTTATTGATTAATGAAATTTATAAAGTGATACATTTAATGGAAATTTGTTTTAGAAATGTTTTAAAGAGCCTATAATAATATAAATAGAGAATTTTAGTTGATTTTTAATCAGCTTGGATGAAATGTTATATTACTGAATGAATTGGTTTTAGAAAGATATCAACTTGATTATAATGTTTTAAATAAATGGAGTTTATGAAGCTTAAGTTTAAATGGGTGAAGAAATATAGGTCTCTATAGATTAATTTTTTTATTGATTAATGCAATTGATGGTTAGACATAGTAATGAATGAATTTATTTGAAAATGTATTAATTTGATTATAATTCTATACAGAGAGGGAAATTTTAAAGAAATAATGGGTATATATTTATTATATTATTGTTTGTTTTTTAAAAAATGGATCACCGGGTTTCCACGTGAGTTCTTAAGCTGTGTTGGTGTAAAATGGAAAATTAATAAAAATTGTTTTGGAAAAAAACAATTTGGATCCTGGGATGTTGGCTATTCTAGTCAGATTAATGTCATCTACAAATTTGAGGAATTTCCCCTTCTATTCCCTCATCTAAGTCATTTATGAAAATATTGAAGAGTACTAGGCCTAAGACGGAACATTGTGGTACTCTATTGCTTACATCCCTCCATATAGATATAGTACCATTAAGGACTAGTCATTGAGTGCAGTATCAGCCATTACAAACCCATCTAGTGGTGATGCTGTCTATCCCATATTTTTCTAGCTTACCAAAAAGTAGGTTGTGGTCTACTTTGTTGAATGCCTTACTGAAATCCAAGTATGGTATGTCCACAGTGTTTTGCTGATCCACTAATTTAGTCACTTTGTCAAAGAATAAAATAAGATTTGTTTGGCATGATCTATTTTTGACAAACCTGTGTTGGCTTCTGATTATAACTTTGTTTGTTTCTGTAAGGACCCTCTCCACTTTGCATCTTAAGAAAACAGAACTCTTGGAATATTTCTTCCAACAGGCATCTTTATTAAGAGAAGATGGTTGCAGGCGTTCTAGACAGGACCTGAGGTCCTACCTCTTACCATTCAAGGTTTTAAGTGTTCCCAAGCAGCCCCCCATCACACTGTCCTTCCAGCGACAATTCCAGGTGTTACATTTCCACCCCCTTTTCCTCACGGCCGGCGGGAGACTTCAGAGAGTAGTACATGAAAGGTGATGGCCATATTGTTATGGTCAGTCCTCTTGGTGAGATCCACATTCAGTCCCTTTGAAGTTTTAATGAAGAAAGTGAGAGCCATAAACCCTTTTGCTCATCCCCCTTCTTCTTCGTAGTATGACAGAATCCAGAGAGGGCAGAAATGGGGTTTTCCATAGTCGATAACTAGAGATGAAATATAATTGGATTCTGACAGTTTCTAGGTGTTGGCAGAACTCTTTTTTAATTATTTTTTTCCAGGATCTTCCCAGATAGTGATGCTATCAGGCTGACTGGTAATCTGATCAGAATGTATCATTTTGGTTAGGAAAGCCAGTTATTCTCTTAGTAAGGACAGCTGTCAAGATGTCCAGAGTTCTTTTGTGATCTGGTTATAGGAGGGAACATCAAGCATTACAATAATCAAGAAAATATAAGTTTAGATGAAAGTCAATTTTCCTTACTGCTCTGAAATTTATTCAAATTATTTTCCCTTATTCATTTGCTACAGCTTTATCCCACTTTTCATATTACTCTTTCCCATAGCAGCTTATTATCAGTTAAAGAAAAATAAGAATGTTGCTGTTCCCAATCTTATAAATTAAAAGCAAGACACAACAAAAAGGAGAAAATAAAAATAGATCAGGTAGATAAGTTTTATTATTCCATTTTTAGCCTGCCCTTATTTTTTATTATGTAACTCAACGCAGCAAACACACCTAATACTCCTTCCTCCTCATATTTTCCCCACTACAACAACTCTGTGAGGAGAGTTGGTCAGAGTGATTGATTCAAAGTCACCCAGCCGGCTTTCATGCCAAAGGTAGGACTAGAACTCAGTCTCCTGATTTCTAGGTCAGTACAATGCCTTAACCACTAGACCAGATAGGTCTTATGGGCATTGTGACCCATAAAGTTAGCATTAAAAGCTGTGACGTTTCATTCTTTTAAATTAATTGAACATATTTGATTAATGAACAAAAATGCCACAATAAATACTTTAGGAAATTTTAAATATTAGAAATAGTAATCTTAATTCAAATAATTATAAAAGCAGCAGTTGGAATAGGTACATAGAAAATACCTCTGTGCAAAGATAGTTGTTTTATCTGATACAACTTAGTGATACAAATTTGATTGATAGCCGTTTCTTAATATCTACTTATATTTTCTCACAACTGAAACTGCGAAGTTCCAGATCGAAAATAAAAAAGTAGAAAAGTTACAAGCATCAGCGGTTTGTTTGACAAGTTCTTCTCCTTTGCTATTAACACCTGAAACAAGCACTTAATGTAAATTTGAAGTTCACAAGCAAAAGGTCACGCCTCTGCATCCATCCCCACCTATAGTTAGATCATATTTTAATTTCGCTCCTTGGTGCACAAATATTCGGCGGCTTATGTCATCGCCTCCGCTCGTTCGGCCCAATAGGAAGAAAGGAAGGAGGAGGAGGCGGATACTGCTTGCGCGTTGCTATGGTCGCAAAACTGAGTAGTAAGGGAGGTGGAGGCGGAGTGCGCATGAGTGGTCTGCGCAGTACCGGGAGTTTATCTGGGCCTGGTGGAGACGAATCTTACTGAAGGCTGCCATGCAGGGCTCCGTGGTCCGGCGTACGCAGGAGTTGCTAGGGCGCGTGATTCGAAAACCGCCTCTTACAGAGCGCCTTCTCAGCAAGCCTCCTTTCCGTTACCTGCACGACGTAATCGGGGAGGTCAGGCGAAACGAAAGTGGCGGGAAAGAGGGGGAGGAGAGGAAGCGATCGGTCGTGTTTCCAGTTGCCTGGCAACTCGAGGAGGAAGCCGCAAAAGAGACGCGTGTATCTTTGAAGGGTTGTGTAAAGAGATTCCCCAAGACATTAGACAGGGTTAGAGAGTCGGATGGCTTATTTTCTCCATCCCGTTTGGTCCAAGGGTTGTATGTTGTTCAGTCAATCCCTCAAATGGCTGTTATAGATTGTAGTAATCACTCCTTTGTCATTGAAGGGTGCAAAGAAATGGCCACTTACTACGCAGCCTTTTATTGTTTTTATAGAGTTTTTCAAATAGCAATAGATACAGCATGGCAACAGCATTTCATTGGCTAAAATCCTTTACCAATCCTCAAGAGTAAAAAGTTAGAGGCCATAAACAGGAAAACTTGTTGTTCACCAATTTAGCCTTATCAACTTGGCAAGGTCACAGAGACCTGCATCAAGTAAGATGCATAACAAAGGCAGTTTTCTGCTCGCAACTTTCGCCTGTCTCTTATCCCTACAATAGATAGAGAAACATGCCTTGGATTGGACCGCAGCCCATTACGTGAACATAAAAAAAAGAAAAGTTGCCGCAGTCTTTGTTGGTTAATAACAGTAATTGCATGTACAAAGACGGGCAAATTTAGCTATCTTTGGCTCATATTTTAAATAGATTTCAGATTTCAAGAATAGAACTATGGCTTTGTAGCTAAGGAAGCTCAGCATTAATATGAGTGATGCTTTGTTTTTCATCTTTTCATGTGTTGAACAAGTTTGGCTTGTTTTTGCTACATAGGCCTAACTAGGAGAAAGGGAGAACTATGTTCTGTATTGTACTAGAGGTGATGTGAGAATTTAATTCTATCTATAAAGGTAAACTATAATATTGTAAGAATGAATATTATGTAACATTTTGTATCCTATTATATCAAATGTATCATTTTCTATTATATTTAGGCAAGGGGAGAGAAATTAACATTTCGGCAAATATGAAATGCAAAATATATCTGGTTTTGTTCTATGAAAAACTGGATGGGTTAGTGGCTGGGTTAGAAACCCAATCACATACCATAACCTTAATTGCTCTACTCTGCCTAGATTTTTTCTTTCTTTTATTGAGTTTTATAACGGTAATAAGGGGATAGGGTCAAAAGGGGTAAGACAACGGGAAACATACAAAAAGGTTAGACCAGGGAAAAGGGATAACACAAAAGTGGGATTAATTCCACAAAATAACATTGCTTCAGCAAGTCTACCAGTCCGGGTTTACATATTAAATCTTAATAATTACTCTATTATTAAACAACTTTCCATATAATCACGTGAATAACAAATTAGTCAATAAATTTCATTCATTTCACTACTTAATAATGCTTAATATTAATTAATTATAATCACTTTAAAATAGTAATATACTACATATTAATTATAGTTTACCATATTATTTAAGATCACAAATATACAAAGAGGAGGAAGAAGAAGAAATAAGAACGTTCATACAAATAATCATGGAATATAAATACAAATGATCAATTATCTCTTTAAATTTCATAACCTTTTCTCACTCTAGCGTATTTCTAACCAATAATAAAAAAATTCCCCCTGACAGCCTTGAGAACGGCACCTTACCGGTTCTTTCCCACAATAACTTAGCACTTATGGATTGGCTCAGTTCAAACCAGCCAGATGGACAGTTAGGGTGGGGTTTGAAAGAGCTCTTTTAATGTAATATTTCATGTGTGAAATCCTCAGATCCTGCCTTACTATCTTGCTATCAATACCTTCCAATAAAAGTTCCTGTTGAAATAATGCAAGTTTCAAAAGTTCTGCTTTCTTGGGAGGTTTAACTGAGGCAAGTCCTTACACATTCCCTGAATAGAATTGTGCTAGAGGGGCAGTTTATTTTAGTTCCTTTGAAACTTCCAATAATTCAGCAGGGAATTGGACTGGAAGACCTGTGAAATCCTTTCTAGCCCCATGATTCTGTATTCTATGTTCTGAAGTAGATTTGGGAAACATTTCCCCTTGAAATGGGAGAAAGTTGCTAGTGGGAATCTTCCACTAGCTTCAATCTATGCTTATATAGATTGAAATTTGTGTTGATTGGTTTTCCCATCTGCTGGCAAGTTTACTTTTTTTTTTTACAGAACCTGGTAGACCTATGTAGTATGAGACAACACAAGCATAACAAATGATCCCCAATATTACTATAACCAATGGGTGATCCCTGCTCTAATTTTGGCTACAGGTAGTCCTCCCCTTATAACCATAATTGAGCCCAACGTTCCCGTTGTTAAGCAAAACACTTAAAAGACTTTTCCCCATTTTACAACCTTTCCTGCCACAGTTGTTAAGTGAATCACTGCAGTTGTCAATAACATGGCTATTAATGAATCTGGCCTTCCCCATTGACTGCTCGTCAGAAGGTTGTAAAAGGTGATCACATGACTGCAACCATCATAAATACATACCAGTTGCTAACTGGGCAAATTTTGATCATGTGGCTATGAGGATGCTGCAACAGTTGTAAGTGTGTAAAACAGTCATAAGTCAATGGCTGCAAGTTGAGGACTACCTGTGATCATGGCTACCTGTGATCATACCCATCATGGCTCTAATGTATTGCTCTGAATTCATCCATTTTTAATGCAAGTTGAATGTATTGAAGAGAACTGTCTCCTAACCAGTTAGTATTCCAACATTAGCATGGTTTTAGAAGTTTTATGTTGGAATATTCATGAACAGGAAGAGTCATGTGGTAACTCAGTCAGCCAATGTGAAGAAAGTGCTACTGAGTCTGTGCAAAAAGAGTATTGAGTTAGGAGCTGGATTTCCAGTCTCAAGGTATTGTCTCTGGTCTGTCTCTAAGAAGTCTTCGTTAAGCTATGTTGCTGTAAAGAAGAATGGTATTGTAAATATTTTTATATAAATATAAAGTTGTTTGAATCAGCTAAATGCAGTCAACTGTGAGAGCTTCTGATTTATTTTTCACCAATAGAGAAATTAAAATTCTCTAACAGGTTATGGGCCCAGAGCTTACTAAGGACTGCATTGTAATTTAAAGCTGGAAGAAATTGCTTGTGTTTAGAAAGTATAAGAACAAGGCAGAATTAGCAGAATGGCTGCAATGGAATTTGAGGAAAACTCTGGCTCGTTTGGGCCAGAAGAATTACATTGTGTGGGCTGCAAAAATGGAATGTTTGCTGAAAGCAAAAGAGCTGTGGTATATTGTAGAAAATCCACCACAAGTATTTGCAGCTGCAGATCAGAAAAGCCATGATCAAGCAATAGCTTATCTCACCTTGAATTTAGGTGATGAACAATTTCTAAATGTTGCAAATTTGAAGACTGCAAAGGAGATTTGGTTGAAGTTGAGAGCTGTGCACGTGAATGTTTCTGCATGCAATGTAGTGCAATTGTCAAGAAAACTTTACAGGGCCTGTTTGCAACCAGGTGAATCTGTGGAACAGCATTTAAATAAAATACAAAGTTTATTTTTGGACTTAGAACAACGTGGGATTAAATTCCCTGAGTCCCAGAAGGTTTTATTGGTGTTGAACAGTTTAGATAAAACCTGGGACACAGTTTCTGCAATATTTGAGTGCAAAGAAGAACAAGATTTAAATTTTGAGGCTTTAAAAGCATGTTTGCTTAATGAAGAAGAAAAACGCCATTTTAGAAGCAGCCACGAGGAGGAGAAATTCCTGAGGAGGGGGTCCAGACTGCAAGTCTCCAGAGGAGAAGAAACAAGCAGATCGGACCCGGACCAAATTGCAACAAAGGAGAGATTTTGCAAGCAGAGAGCTTTGCAAGGAAAGAGTTGCTACATTTGTGGAGCAAAGACACATTTGCAAAGAAACTGTTTGCAGAGGAACAATTTGCAGAAAAAGACATTTGTGCAAAGAAAAAGGACTGCTTTGCAAAAGGAACATTTTGGTGTTGCAAAAGTTTGCAATAGCAACAACAGAGACAAGTGGCTAATAGATAGTGGGGCAAGTCAAACAATTGTTAATGACTCTAAATTATTTTGTAGGTTTGTTCCAGTAGCACAAGAAGCTGTGGCTTTGGCAAATGGCCAGAAAGCAAAAGTCATTGGAAAAGGCGATGTAAAAATTCCATATTTGGAATCAAAGTTTACCAACGTGCTTTGTGTACTTGAGATGGAACATAATTTGTTAAGTGTGTCTAATTTAGACAGACAAGGTTTTGAGATCATTTTTGTAAATGGGAAATGTCTCATCAAAAGGAATGGGAATATTTTGTGCAGAAGGCATAAAGGAAGATAATCTATACATATTGCAGGGACAAAAGGTTCAATGTTCCCATATATTTAAGAATGTTGCAGAGCATGATTCATGTGTTCATCTTCTGCATAGAAGACTTGTCCGTGCAAGCTTTGAAGTTTTGCAGCAAATGCAAGATTTTGCAGAAGGGCTAAATTTGAAAGGATGCAAAATATATTTGGACTGTGCAGTATGCAAAGCATCGAAGTCAAAGGCATTCCTAGTTAGTAAATGTAGCACAAGACAAACAAAAAGAGTTCTAGAGCTGGTTCATGCAGATCTGGTGGGACCTATGCAAGCCAGTTTGGGAGGAGCAAAATATGCACTGGTAATTCTTGATGATTATAGCAGGTATTCATTTTGCTATTTGCTTAGAGCAAAGATAGAGGTGCTACAACAATTCAAACAGTGGGTAAGTTTTGTAGAGAGAAGGTACAGACAACAAGTGTGTCAGTTACAAACTGACAGAGGTACTGAATTTATGTCAACTAAATTCCAACAATGGTTGGGGCAGTTGGGAATAAGACACAGACGTACAAATCCCTACACAGCAGCAGAGAATGGTGTAGCTGAAAGAAGGAATGGTGTTTTGCAAACAATGAAAGATTCATTATTGGAGGATTCTGGTATGAGCAGGTCATATTGGGGAGAAGCCATATTGACTGCAAATTACATAGTTAACAGGCTGTGGAGTTCCTCCATTAATAATACTCCATATGCCATTCTATATGGGAGAAAGCCATCACTTGCACATTTGAGAATTTTTGGAAGTACTGCATGGGTACATATTCCTAAGACAATCAGAAGAAAGGGACAGCAAAAGGCACGAAAGCTCAGGTTTGTAGGCTATGAGCCAGGGTCAAAAGGATATCGCTTTAGCGATGGAAGTAAAAGAATTGTTATTTCAAGGTCTGCCAATTTTGCAGAACAAAATTGGGACAGAATTAATGCAAATTCTGGGTATGTCTCACTTAATGACGGTGATCTGTTTAGTGACAATAGCTCATCTAATGATGAAAAAATAATTGAAGATGTCCATGTTCAGGGAGGAGAAGCTGAACAAGACATGAAACCAGAAAGAATTGAGACACAGAAGCAGTTAATACCACGTAGGTCAGAGCGATGTAATAAAGGAATTCCGCCTGACAGGTATTCTGTCAGCAAGGTAAACGTTTGCAATGTGTGGTATGAGCCAAGAAGTTATAAAGAGGTGTTGGCAGTACCAAAAGCTGAACAAGAAAGATGGAAGGAGGCCATGGATAAAGAGATGAAATCCATGGGAGACCATGAAGTATTTAAATCAGTGACTTTGCCACAGGGAACCAAAGCTGTAGGTTGTAAGTGGGTATATAAGAAAAAGGTATTGCCAAATAATGATATACAGTATAAGGCCAGGTTAGTGGCATAAGGTTTTTCACAATTAAAGAATGTGCACTATGATGAAGTATTTGCGCCAACTGTGAAAAGTGAGAGTATAAGATTAGCACTGGCGTTGGCAGTGGCATATAAACATAAAATCTGGCACTTTGATATCACAACTGCATTCCTCAATGCTGAGTTAGAGGAAGAAATTTATATGATCCCAAGCACCAGGATATGAAATTGCAAAACCTAACATGGTATATAAATTAAACAAGGCTATTTATGGGCTGAAGCAGTCAGCCAGAAACTGGAATATCTGTTTAGATACTGCTTTAAAGGATCTTGGATTTAAAAGTTGCAAAGCTGATAATTGTATATATACTGGACAGTTACAAGGAGGGAATTGTCTACTGTTATCATTTGTGGATGATCTTTGCTTCATCGCAAAGGATGCATCATAAGTCAAAGAATTTGCTGATAAATTAGGAAAGAAATTTGAATTAAAAAATTTGGGAGAAATAAAAAATTATCTTGGTGTAGAGATACAGAAAAATGAAAAAGGTGGTTATATTCTCAGTCAAAGGAGAAAAATTGAGCAGTTATTGGAGAATGTGTTAAGTCAATAGGTCTGATGTCTCTTCCTGTCATGAAGGGAGGAGTGTTGGAATATTCATGAACAGGAAGAGTCATGTGTTAACTCAGTCAGCCAATGTGAAGAAAGTGCTACTGAGTCTGTGCAGAAAGAGTATTGAGTTAGGAGCTGGATTTCCAGTCTCAAGGTTTTGTCTCTGGTCTGTCTCTGTAAGAAATCTTCGTTAAGCTATGTTGCTGTAAAGAAGAATGGTATTGTAAATATTTTTATATAAATATAAAGTTGTTTGCATCAGCTAAATGCAATCAACTGTGAGAGCTTCTGATTTATTTTTCACCAATAGAGAAATTAAAATTCTCTAACATTTTATATACTAAAAATAAAATTTATAAATCTTCCCAATTCTATGGAAACTTACATTACCAATCTTATTATCCCACGTATACTCCTGGAGAACACCTGGTTTCAATATTATAAGAACTTTATTAAACGATGGATGGAAATTACAACCTAGATGTAGTATGAGAATGCTAGAGAAAGTATTTATTGTGGATTAATATGTTTATCTCTACAATTATTTGAACCTGTGCAAGTTATTTTTTATACTTTAGAAAGATCCCATTATATAAAGTTGCACTGTGTAGCACTTACTGAAATATACAGAATTATTTCAGAAAAACAGAATATCATAATCAAAGTTGTCTGCAAAAATGAGCACAATTATTTCATTGTTTTAAGATTCAAATGCTTTGTATTTGCATTTTATATTGTTAAGTTGTACAAAAAATATATGCATTTGAGAGCTAGTATCGTAATAACATTAATATTATTGTTTTAAAGGTAATTAGATCAACTGGTTTCATGAAAGGATTGTATACAGAAGCAGAGATGAAATCTGATAATGTTAAGGTATGTATGCACTCCTAATTTTTTATTTATAAAATATTTTATAGATGCAATTCCATTAAGTATCATTTAATACAGTGGTTCTCAACCTTTCTAATGCCGCAACCCCATAATATAGTTCCCCATGTTGTGGTGACCCCCCAACCACTTATACATCACTGGGTGCCAGGGGTGTGGCCAAACAAAAGGGAAAAATGGCGGACAGCCTTGTTTGGCGACCCCCGTGAAATGGTCGTTCGACCCCAAATGGGGTCCCGACCCACAGGTTGAAAACCACTGATTTAATATAATGTCAGAATTGTACCAAAATGCTATTTTATAAATTAAAAATTTATACATTAAAAATCTAGTATCACAATTTATATTGAAAACTGTAGAGTTTTTTTAACACTATATTGTTTTATTCAGGATAAAGATGCAAAAATCATCTTTCTTCAGAAAGCAATTGATGTGGTCATCATGGTGACAGGAGAGTATTTGGCAGTGAAACCTGCACGTGTTGTTGCAGGACATGAACCTGAAAGAACAAATGAATTTCTCCAAGCAATTGCTAAATGCTGTCTCAATAAGGTAAGATGTTAGTAATTTGTGAAATATTATCTTAACTGAATTTTAAATACAATTTCAAAGACCAGCTGAAGGAGAGGTGGTTTCGGGAAAGATTGGACTCAGGATAAAAGCTGAAATGACTGTTGTGGGGGAGAATTAAGCTTCTCTCTCTTTATCCGATGTTAATATAATGCACATATATATAATACAATATTATATTTTATATTAATTATAATTATATATAATTATAATAATATAACACAATATGTATGTGCATGTATGAGTATGGAGATATATGTATGTATGTATCTATGTATGTATATGTGTGTGTGTGTGTATACATGACCATCTTAGTAACAACTGGGCACGAGGGGGAGGCGTTAGGGAAGAAAGGGAAAGCACTCGTAGAGAGAATAGCTGCATGGATGTGGATTGGAAAAAGAGGAAAGGGAAATGCAAACCACTACACAAACCTGAGGGAGAGAATGGATCAAAGGAGGGGAGCAACCAGGGAGATAGGGAGGTTGCCCCACCCACCCTAGAATCCAAGGAAAAGAAGGCAAATGAGGACATACACGTAGATAAGGGGTGCAGGAAGAAACGGATCACCGGAGTACAATCTATCCAATTAGGTCCGATAACAAGATCAAGGAGCCGGGCGCAGATTCGGGCTTGCTTATAAGAGACTCTCCCACTCTCTGGCGTTTTAAGCCCTGATAATGCCGGCAGGTGACGGCGAAAGCTTGGCGTTTTTAAATTAAACTTTTATAGTTTTAACTACCTTGGTGCTTATTTTATTTTATTTATATTTATATATATATACATTTTTATATATATATATATATATATATATATATATATATATATATATATATATATATATATATATAGTCAATCAGATAAAAATAAACAGCTCTGGGATGTAAGATAAAAGCCTTTTTTATTAATTACTGAGTTTTTGTTAACAACCTGTTAACATCATCAGAGCAAAGGGCTAAATGAGAAGGGGGGAGTATGCGCATAAATTTACATAACAGTTAAACAACGGTTGCAGTGAGGCATGTGCACATAGCGTGCTTAAGAAACTCTTAAAGGCATAAAGCAGTCAGTCTCAAGACCATTTTCAACAGTCGCACTTGTCAGCTGTTTGGCGTGTAGAGCCAGTGCGTCTATCAGCTGTTCCGCACGAGGTTCTTAGGGCTTCGTGCTCAGTCTTGTGCCAGCTGGATTCGTTCCATGAGGTGCAGCTTGGGGGTTCGTTTCACTCTATCATGTGCAGGAGCTGCGGGATTGGATCTGTAGGGAGAGAAAGCAGATGCCCTCGTGGGGCATGTGAATGATTTGCCTGCCCTCACTCCCCCTTTTTAGGAAGTTGTGAAATCGTCTCTGTTAAAGAAGCCAGCCTCTTGGATTGTATAGTTTTTTTGGGTGTAGGGTTGCTGTGTGTGTGTGTGTGTGTGTGTGTTTCGTTGGGTACGGTCGTTTGGAATGTTTGTGTGTGGTCGTTTGATATGCTTATTAGTTGTGAGTGGTTTTGTGGTGTTTGGGAATTGGGAATTGGGCTGTAATATTTTGTTCCATTGAATGTGATAAGTCATATTTCATTGCAGGGGGGAGTTTTGGACTTGGTCTTAATATTCTGTTGTTACTTAGGTGTTGTGTGTGTATGTTTTGTTGTGTGTGAGTGTCTTGTGAGGTTGCAGGATTTGTGTTTTGGATGTTTGTGTCCTGGATGTTGTGGTCAGGGGGGGGGTTGTTGTTTCTGTGTGTGAGAATATCAGAACGTGGTGTGTTGGTTGTGTGAGTTGTCATGGTTGTGTTAGAGTTATATTCTTAGGTTTGATGAAAAGGTTTGTGTTATAGAAAGGATATCTATTGTGTTGGTTTGGGGTTTGATAAGTGGGTGGGATGGTGTTTTGTGTTATTATTGGTTGGGTTGAAGTGTTTAGGTATTTTATGTTTTTGTAAATGAATTTTTAGGGTTTGGTAAGGAGAGGTAGTAGGTCTATGTGTCTATTAATAGAATGACAGTCTGAAAACCAAGCTCCTTTTAAAAGACGGCCTCCTTTGGTGGAATCATGAGCCATGACTTCTGTTCCTTTAAAGTTGAAAGTGTGCCATGTTCAGCTATATGGGTCCAGACTTGGGAGCATTGTTCTTGTCTTCTTACTGCCAAAATATGCTCATGTATTCTGGTTTTAAGTCTTTCTGATGTTTCTCCAATGTAATTACATTGGCATGTGTTGCAGTTGATCTTGTATACAATGGAGGACAAATCACTGGTTGGTAATGGTTCTTTGGGTCGCATCAATTGGAAACGTAACATTTGGTTGGGTTTGTGTGCTATGTTGATATTGTATGGGGCAAGGATCCTGGCGGTTGCTTCTGAGACTCCATTGATGTATGGGATTGTTGCCCAAGTTGTATTAGTTGGAGCATTGTAGTTTGCAGCAACGTTTATCTTTGCAGCAACGTTTAATGAAACTTGGTGGATAATTATTTTGTTTGCATATGCTGAGAAGATATGCTTTCTCTTTAGATTTTGCTGTTTCTGTGCTGCAGTGGGTCTTGATTCTTTTGAATAAAGTTCTTAAACAGCTGATTTTATGTGATACAGGATGATTTCTTTGGTAGTAGAGAATTCTATCAGTGTGAGTGATTTTGCGAAAGACGGTGGTTGATAGGTTGCCATCTGGAAGGCGATGGACCAAGACATCCAGGAAGGGTAAGGTGTTGTTGTCCTCCTCTTTTGTTGTAAATTGGATGTCTGGATGGAATGAATTCAGTTTCTGTAAGAATTTGGTGGTATCACATCGCTTGATGACTGCAAAGGTGTTGTCCATGTACCTAACCCAAAAACTGGGTTGATAATCAGCCATGACAACACGTTCTAGATCCTGCAGTACTGCTTCAGCAATAATTAACAGGTTGTTAACAAAAGCTCAGCAATTAATTAAAAAAGCCTTTTACCTTACATCCCAGAGCTCTTTATTTTTATCTGATTGACTGGGATTCCATACCTGGGATTCCAATATTCAAAATTATCGAAGACTATATATATATATATATATATATATATATATATATATATATATATATATATATATATATATATTAATGGTTGCAAAAATGCGAATCCTGGGCATATTTGTTCAATAATGCAATCCTCAATCTCCGGGAAAAGTATAAACTAGTTGTTTATTGTTAAAACAACACTTAAAACAATAAAAACAGTTATATATAAAGTTAAAAACAACTTAGTTTTTGCTGGTCCTCTGCCAGCGTCCTCAGAGTGAGGCTCAGGGGGTGGGGAGGTTCTTTTTATACCCTTGCCGATCTTACAGGCAATCAGGAAGAATGGCCCTATCACATGGGCAATGAGTAAGCAGTTAGATCAGCAAGGGTATAAAAAGAATCTCCCCACCCCCTGAGCCTCATTCTGAGGATGCTGGCAGAGGACCAGCAAAAGCTAAGTTGTTTTTAACTTTGTATATAACTGTTTTTATTGTTTTAAGTGTTGTTTTAACAATAAACAACTAGTTTATACTTTTCCCGGAGATCGAGGATTGCATTATTGAATGAATGAATGAATGAATGAATGAATATATATATATATATATATATATATATATATATATATATATATATATATATATATATATGTTTCAATAAAACACCAAGCTTTCGTTGGCGGCTGCCAACATCGTCAGGGTACATTCTAGTCGATGGGAGAGTTCATTTGTAGGTGAGACACCGTTTGCGCCCGGCTCTTAGATCTTGTCACGGGTCCTAACCGACCAATCTGCATTTTGGTCGTAGCTTCCGTGTCACTAACTGCATTTTCCTTACTTTTCTTGCCTGTGTGTGTGTTACTGCCCATTCCCCCCTCCTCGTATGATCGTAAACTAGGGGGATTCTTCCCCTTCCTTTTTTGATCGAACGTAAGCTCTGCATCCCTAAACTGTTTTCTCTTCTCACACCCCTCCCTGGGGCACTCGACCTCAGTAAACTTTCTCCCTCCTTCCCCCCCTCCATTTTCCGTCATTCACATTCTCGTTGTTATCCTTCCTACCGCGGAGCTTCACTCTGAATATCCCGCCTTGGCCCCTGCTCTCCAGTCCCCCCCTCATCAGCACAATTGCCAATCCCACGGCTGCTATCCCTTCCAATACCTGCTTTCCCCCTTTCCCCACTCCTAATGGCAACACTTCCTGAGATGTCATGGAAATCAACTTGTAAACCCCACAGCCTCAATCGGGCCGCCGACATGGGATATACTCCTGGGCATGTCTGCTCCGTCATCCCCTCAAGTCGGCTCCTCTCATCTTCCCCACGTGGGGGGTCCGGCAGAGTCCTCGGTTCGTTGGTCATCTCTCCTTTGCTGTCCGTCCGTTTCCCTATTCCTCGGGAGCGCGTACACACCCCCAAGGTGAGGGGGGTCTTCTGGTCCTTGATCATCTCCCCCTTGCGTGTTCCCGGGCGGTGTTGCTCCTCCTGGATGTCTCGGGAGATACGGGGAGACCCCCAGCTTATTGGTTACCACCTCTTTGTCACTCTGTGGTCTCCCTTTTCTCCAGGGGTATATATTTGCTTCCGAGGCAGAGACGGGGGCGGGGGTGGAGGCGGAGGTAGCGGTGGGGATAGAGGCGGCAGAGGGGTCCCTCAGGCGTTGGTTATCTTGTGTCTGGGTGCGTATGGGCGGCGTCATTAAATGATGCACAGCCAAAGGAGCAGGCAAGGTTCAGAAGTGACTACAGCACAATGGATCACTTCCAAGTTGTTCAGCAAATCCATTAAAGCCATGCCTTTCATTGACTACGAAATGGCGTTTGACTCAGTATTTCAGCAAACAATAATTAATGCATTGCTTAACCAAGACATAGATACTGCTTACATAAACTTAATCAATATATGAAAAAACAGTGGTGGCAATTTGCTTTAATGATCTTAAAGTGGAAATCAACATAGAATGAGGTATATAACCAGACGGTACAATATCACCTATTCTTTTCTCAGCCTGC